TTTTATTAAAATCTAATTATTGGATTCTAAATAAGATAGAAATTTAAAAAATATTTTTTGTCCATTTTTTTTTCAAAATATAACGATAAAATTTATTTTAAAAAATTTCACATGTTATAATAGGTGTCTAATGAATAAATGACTCAATAATTATTTTCAATTAGTTGCTAAGTTATGGACAATGTTAAAACTTTGGGTGCATCGGAGATCTATTACGAAGAAGAGATGACCTTAAACTTTAAAAGAAGAGTTCAAATTCTAACGAGAAGATAATTTTGAAGGGGAAGATTTTTTGAATTCGAAGGAAGAGAATGTTGTGTGTTAGAACATGAATGTATAGATATTAGAGCCAACCCGATAATCTACTCGAAAAAAATCACCGGGTCAATGGTTCAACTGGTGGGTTATTGTTAAAATTTAATTTTAATTAAATTTTATATTTGAAGTGAAAATGAAACAATTTTTTGAAATGTAATATATATATTTTGCTCACAAAAAACAAAGGACCATCACTTGCCATAATGGTTGTGAAGTTAAAATATTTTCTTTCCATCCAAGGTTCAAGTCACGAGTTCAGCAAATTTAGGAAAAAACTCTAATTTCTTCTTCATTTTTGTTTTACAAGTTAAGGGTAAAAAAGTCTTTTGACACTTTTAAATAATTAAATTTTTTTTTATTTTTATAATTTTGGTCAAAGGCCAATTGGATAAAATGTCTATTAGGGTGGTCTTTCCAACTCATTTCCCCAAATTTCTTCCCAGTAAAAGGAAAAATAAATCCCTGCAGTTTAAACAAGAGAAATCAAACCTTAAAAAGGCACACCGCTCCCAACCTTTTTTCTATTAACGGGTAAAAATAAACCTTTTCTTTTTTCCATTCCTCACCCTCTCCAATTTTAGACGAAACCCTTAAATTTTCACTTTCGATTTTTTGTTTTTTCTTGTGGGTTTATAGTTTAATTAAGCAAGAAAGCCTCAGAGATGCAGCAACCAGGGCAAATGTTTCCAGTTACGCCTTCATTTCCTCCTACTAACATCACCACTGAGCAGATTCAGAAGGTATATACATTTTTTTTTTTTACCCTTGTTTACATATGGGTTATTTCTATTAGTTGATTAAATAAATTATGGTTCTGTTGTTTATGTTTCATTCTTAATTTTATAGCTTTTGATTATCATTCTAATTCTGTAGAATCTGTAGAGGAGAGAGTGAATGTTAATTGGAGACTGAAAGAGAAAGTACTGTTAATTACACTTGTTAGGGTAATACTGTGGGTGAAGTTATGAAGTTTCGAATTACCAGTTTTAGAAGCAACTGTTCTGATGATATAGCTTGCATTTAATAATTCATGTATTCATTCATTTCGGTTGGCAGTAGAAGAGTATTTGTCCCTTTTTTTTTTTTTTGTTCGGTATACATTGTCATAATGATAGTTCCACACCATTTGAATCAATTTCGCGGAACTATGTCATCGAACTACTTCCTCTATGATGAACTTGTATGTCAAAAAAACTTTCAAAACGTATGCATATAATATGTAAAACTTGATATGTGTTGGTTCCAAATTTCAATCCTTTTTATGAAATTTTGTTAAGTAGGTTGTACCTATTTTGCTAAAAAATAAAATCCTTTTTAGGGCGTTGTTTCATTTTCCAAGTTGGTTAACATGGGATTTTAGTGGCAATGAATGTTGGGAAAGTGATGCAATTTCAATTGGATAGTTTTGACTATTTAAGAGTTGGTGAGCACACTACAGTGGTCTTTCTGCTGTTTGGTCTCATACATCTTTTATTCTTCCCGCCTTCATAAAAAATACCTGATTTTTCCTAAGCTATCAATAATTTTTTTTTTTTTTGGGGGGGGGATATGTTTGCAATCCCCATAAAAATTGCCTGAAATATTTTATACTGTTTTCATTTACTTTTGTAAAGAAATTTCTTTACCAAAAAAAAAAAAAGAGTATCAATAACTAGCACATGGAGTTAATTGTTCGAATGGTTACTGAACTTAGATTCATGTTCTTGATTAGCCACTAAATTTTAAAATGTAGAGTTTTGGCCATTGAATTTTGAAAAATGTTGAGTTTTGGTCACCGAACTTAGATCCATGTCTTTGATTGCTTACTGAACTTTAAAATGTCGAGTTTTGGCCACTAAACTTTGAAAAATGTTGAATTTTGGTCACTGGACTTAGCTTTATGTCTTCGATTGCTCACTAAAGTTTAAAATGTTGAATTTTGACCACTGAACTTTGGAATATACCGTACTTTATTCACTAGCATAACTGTTGAATTTTGAAAAATATCGAGTTTACAATGAATAATGTACAACATTTTTCAAAATTTAGTAAGTGATGTACAATATTTTTTTCAAAGTTTAGTAAGTAATGCACAACATTTTTCAAAGTTTAGTAGTCAAAACTCGACATTTTAAATTTCAGTAAGCAATTCAAGACATGGATCTAAATTCAGTGACCAAAACTCGGCATTTTTCAAAATTCAGTGGTCAGAACTCAACATTTTAAAGTTCCGTGGCCAATTAAAGATATGAACCTAAGTTCAGTAATCAAAACTGGACATTTTAAAATTCAGTGACCAATCAAAGATATGAACCTAAGTTTAGTGACCATTGGAACAAGTAACTCTACCACATGCATCATGTCTGCCAAAACATCTAGTGTTATAAACAGATTGGTTTCTTTGAGTGGACTTCATATCATTACTGCTATTAATGAATGAAATCAGTTACTTCACTATTATCTGTCTGTAACTAAAGGTTAAAATGTGCAGATATGGGGCCTGCTTTAGTTAAGAGTAGTAACGATCAATATTTAGATGCATTTATGGTACGTTTGGTATGCTAGTTTGGTATGCTAGATTGCATATAAATGAATAAAATTAATAAGGAAAAAGAAGTTAAAATATTGTTGTTAAATAGTGCAGTACTGTGCAATACTAGGTAACAAACATGTCATTAGTGTTTCCTCGTACTTCTTTATCATAATGATTCTAATGCTTCCAAAAAATGAATCCATTCCAACTGCTACTGCTCATAGCTGCCAGCATAACTCTGAGGTGGGCTTCACGGCTGTTTAGGTTTAAGGACCGTTATATATTCCTTTTACGTGTGATCACCATACTAAAGCAAGAATGCCATCATTTCTAAGTGCCGGTATCCAGCTACATTACTTACACAAACACCTCTTGCTAAAGCAGAGATACACTGAATGCATTTTATTTTTCCTAACTATGATATGGATTTGAGGGGTGACAAGATCCAGCAAAACAAAATGTAGGGGGTGGTGTAGTGATTGGAGGAAAATTGACAGGTTGTCGTGTTTTGTATTAATTTCGTTCTCTGGAGGTCTATTTTTGCCCAAATAAATATTTTTGGCTCCCTAACAGATTCTTGATTTACCAAAAACTACGGACAATGCCTTTCTGATTTAGTGGTTGAGTAATTTGCGACTTAGTTTCCGAGTGAATGCATGCAAAAATAAACCAATCATCACATGCCGATATGCAATTGATATAGTGATCCGTCATATTTTCAATTTGCGGAATGTCGAAGACTTCTTTTTTCCATGTAACATATTATGCTTAACCAAAAATGATCGTACTTTTTGAATAGTTCATCGCACCTTAGCAGTTTCTATTTCTGGTTTAATTTACATTCTGAATCTTGTTTTTAAATTCATGGTGTAGTACCTTGACGAGAACAAGAAATTGATATTGGCGATTTTGGGCAACCAAAACCCTGGAAAACTTGCTGAATGTGCCCAGTGAGTCTCTCGATCTCTCTGTTTACTGCCTACATGTATATTCATGTGAATTAGCTTTTATTAATTAGGTTTAAATATTGCTAAATGACAGCTGGTACTATATCTCATTCCAAAGAAAGTGACATCGATCTTTTTTCCCTTATTTTCATTGGAGATATGTTTATCAGTGGCCTTGGATCTTGCGCTTTTTGTTCATGGGGCATCTCTCTGGACTACCTATTACATCTTAAAAAATTTTAATGATCACCATTCCAATCTTCGTGAGTAGGCGTTCACAGATATATACATGTATGGGGTGTACACAAAAAATTTCTGACTCCAAAAAATTTTGAATTATTGGGGGACAACCCAGTCCCTCTTCCCCTGCTTTTAAACTTGTGCACTGAAGATGTGAACCATCCCGGAATTCATAAGGCCCCCAAGTTATTAGATAATATTTACTTTTTTTCTGAAGGAAAGTATGCATACGATATTGACTTTTATGGAATGTTGTTCTGGATGATAAGGTACCAGGCTCAACTTCAAAAGAATTTGATGTATTTGGCTGCAATTGCTGACGCTCAACCGCAGACGCCTGCAATGCCTCCCCAGGTATCTTTTGAAGTCTGATAATCCACTTCTCGACTTTCAGCTTATTTATACGTTAACAAATGCAGATGGTTCCGCACCCAGCAATGCAACAAGGAGGGTTTTACATGCAACAACCTCAGGCTGCAGGCATAGGTCAGCAGCCCAGTACATTTCCACTAAGAGCATCCTTACAATTCAATAATTTACATCAGCAGCATCTATCCCAACATCTCCCACAGCCACAGGCCGTGCAAGGGCATATGGATATGCGGCCTACTGGGGCCAGTAATGGCATGCACCCGACATATAACGAGGCTAATCTGGGAGGAAGTGGCCTGGTTTTGAATTCTGGCCCAGCTGCTATACGTGGAGGAAGTAAGCAAGATAGACCTGCAGAAGGGTCCTCTGGAGCCGATGGCCAGGGAACTTCTGCATATGGCGGTGGAGATGGAAAGGGAGCTAAATAATGCCCTGTGAAATATCTGAAATAGTCTCGTGTAGGATTAGCGTTTTTCGTGTGGGGGTACGTCTGTTCATCAAGGAACAGACAGAAAGTAGCGAAGGATTGAAAATTTTTCCTTTGTAGATGGGTTTTTCTCTGATTAGGGGAAGACAGTTTGGGTATAAGCTTCAGGCTTCAGCCCTGTTCTATAATAATTTTTGTAATGATGTTAGGCGTTTATTAAACAGCAACTAGAACTGATTTTCATGTTGATTATGAATGTACAAACTTTTCGTGCTTTGATGTCTTCGTGCTTTACCGTGGTTTTGATGAAGCTTGAAATTTGTCAATGGCTATTTCTAGCCTAGTTAATGCACCATTGAAGTATGCCTGGCTAAAGAACCTAATGACATGAGTTGTGCTATTCGTACAGACCAGTTAATGCACCATTGAAGTATGCCTAGCTAAAGAACTTAATGACATGAGTTGTGCTATTTGTATAGATCCATTTGCACGGTTTGTACAAATGCTCTTACATGGGGGAGCATCTGTACAAATCTTGTGCAAAGGGGTCTGTGCAGGAGCTTTATTCCTAATGACATTTTGGTAGGGTGAGAGAGATTCAAATGCACTAAACATGCCTAACCAGTAAACGGCCTATATTAAGGGATTTAATTGACTTAGGCAAAGTCTAAACTTGTAGTAACTGCATAATCTCAAACCTCAAATTCAGAGAAAAGTTTCAAATTGAAGTGGATGGTTAGGTATTTCACACATTTTTTGTTGTTATTCCATTCCAACCAACTTATTTGGCTAATATTTATAAGAGAGAATTATAGTTGAGGTTCCAAACTTTTCAAATTATTGCAGATATAACCAAATCTTTTATTTTTGCAGTTGAGGTTCCAAACCTTTAATCTTTATTGCAGCTGCAGTAAACGTTGACCAAATTCATCAATTTGATCGTTAATTGACCAAAAGTCAACGGTCTAACCAAATGATTTATTTTATTATTTTATGTGGAATAATTTGATAGATTGTTGACTTTTGGTCAGCTAATGATCAAATGGGCAGATTCTGTCAACATTTCCTCCACGTGTAGTTGAGATGAAAGGTTTGGAATCCCATTTGCAAAAATGAATGGTTTAGGTATAGTTTGCAACAATTTAAAAGGTTTGGAACTCTAACTACAATTTTTCCTATTTTTTTAATTGATAAAGTTACTTTTTTATTCACATATTTCAAGAGATTTATAATTACTATTTACTTATTTATCATACACTTCTTTCTATTTATAATTTAAATTTTTTATGAACACTTAGCAGACATTAATATTTTAAACTGTGAGGGAGAGAGATCTAATCATGCAATCTGTCACTTAGTTTGTTTAACAAACAGTTTCGCCTTTTTTTAAAAACCGGATTAATTTACTTGTCCATTATTTTGGTGTATGGGTAAGAAATTTGGCAAATTTGAACAAGTGTTGTTAAAATCAATGGCCATTATACTTTCTTTTTCTTTTTTTCCCGTTAAAGGAGGGTGGTACCTCCGAAATTTTATTCATATGCCCTCATTTGTGACGGAGGAATACCATGATTACATGTGAAAATGTTGAAAGCAATAAATGAGGAAATACTACTTTCCTTACAATGGAAATGAATGCTAAAAACAAAATAAATGTAAAGTTGTAAACGAGAAAGTACTACTTTCTTTATAATGACCATTATACTTGTCACATCAGACAATATCAACCAAATTGTCAAACTTTAATGTATATATAACAAAACCAGCAAAACTGTTAAAACCTTGAACAGAATTATGCTAGATTTACATTGTGCTTTACATTTTTTTGACATCTTCACTTATGTAGAAGAAATCAGAGCAATGATACGATAGACAAATTTAAAATCAATGACTTTGTTTGATTCATATGAAAGATTGTCGACTAAGTTATGAAGAGAGTGTTCATGTATCATGGTTGACCTCGTAGATATGCATATTGTTATGTCTCTTGTTAATGTTTGCATATCCGACATTCTACTGAAATGTCTGTCTTGTCCGCCTCTCAGAGCTGAATAAACATTAAACTTGGCTCTACCCTTTTATTTCTAATTTGTAATAATTTGCACAAAAAGAACGTTTATCGTTGTGATGGACAATAACACCAAAAAGCTTGTAGCCTTGGCTTATTAAAGCATTATTTAGAACAAAAACTCCAGAAAAAAGGAAAGGGATATGTGAATAAAAATTTGAATAAAAGCTCAGATCATTTCTGGATATTCTAATCTGAAACCAACAAGCTTCAATAAAAAAATAGATAAATTCTTCTTTGAAATTTGAATTATTATATTAGTGTTTGTCAATAGTCTGAATTCTGAAAGAGGGCCATAAGTGTCCTTATCCATCAACCGCCCACATAATTAAACACTATCTTAGAATGACAAATTTAAGCAAATGATTATTTTGAATTTAATAAATTTAGACAAGAATTTTTCCAACAATATATTATATTAAACAGGGAATAATTCGCAGAATCCATACAAGTGCTATCAAGTGTCAACGCAGCACCTCTATGATGCATTTTCTGTCATATTTGGATCCAAAATTAATGAAAAATTGCTATGTATTGATCTGTAAAAAATCTATCAAACTTTTTCTGTACCTGTAGCATAACTGATATTATATTAGGTGAATTTCAAGGAGTCAATTCATTCTCTATATATTTATAGAAAAAAAAAATTGCAGTTTCTTAAATAAGATATTAAGGCCTTAATTAATACATAGTCAATTTTGAAAGAAGTTCTCCCACTCTAGTAAATAAGAAACTCAGCCGCATCCTCTCCTTCCTTTATTTTTTTCTCCTTTTTAGTGGATTTAACTTTTGGAGCCAACGGATAAATAGCAAAGAATATAACATGAAACAAGAACCACCACCAACTCCGCCGCTGCACCACCGCCACCACCGGAAGAGACTGGTGGTTTTTGAGCTAAAGAAGTTCACTAAACCTATTGCTTATTTTATCCTTCTCCTAATAAGCTACTTTCTAGGTTATCTATCTGCACCCTCTTCCACCTTGAACAAACCTGTTATTACATCAAGAATTCCTCTCGAAACAATACCAGCGACCACCTTCAGGCCCTCCACCACCAGCACGTCGGCCGCCGGCACAGTAGCTGACCACAACAGCTTTTCACTTCAGTGTGTCGATCCAGTTAAGTCGGAAAAAGTCCGCCAAACAGTTCTTGACCGAGTTTTCCATGGCAAGTCCCCGTGGCAAAACTTCCCCCCTGCGCGCGTTAGCGCCTTCCTCCTCCAGAACCGGATTAGAGGTTGGGGATCAACCGGCGCAGTCTTTGAGAACCTCGTCCGGCGTGTGAGGCCCAAGACCATAATTGAGGTAGGCACGTTTCTAGGCGCGTCGGCTCTTCACATGGCGAAGTTGACACGCCAACTCGGGCTCAAGACTCAGATACTCTGCATTGACGATTTTCGGGGCTGGCCTGGATTCTTGGACAAATTCAGGGACATAAAAATGGTGAACGGCGATGTCTTGCTCATGTACCAATTCATGCAAAACGTAGTTTATGCAAATGCCACAGAATCAGTCCTATTCATGCCGTTCTCCACCTCGTCAGCTCTCGATAAGCTCTGCGAGTGGGGCGTGTTTGCTGAGTTGATTGAGGTCGACGCGGGTCATGATTTTCACTCGGCTTGGACGGATATAAACAAGGCCTATAAGATTTTGAGACCCGGTGGTGTCATTTTTGGGCATGACTATTTTACTTCTGCTGACAACAAAGGCGTTAGAAGGGCTGTCAATTTGTTCGCTCGACTCAATAATCTCCGAGTCCACGTTGACGGTCAGCACTGGGTCGTCAATTCGAACTAACTCGTTCGAATTTTTATACAGTTGAATATACTATGATTTGGTTTGTCGCGTTACTTTAAAATTTATGAAAGGTTTGACACATTGTGGCAAATAGAATAGAACAATATTACACACACAAGGGGGGGAAAAAAAGGAATTGCGTATGCACTGAATGGATAATTTGTGAAAAGCGTTAATCCATTTAACGACATTTGTTCATAGTCGACGTGTCGAGTACATTGGTGTGTTCTATAGTAAAAATAACAGCTTTGTGCAATAGATTCACAAATTGTATCTTATATTTGATATGCTTGATGCAATAGTTGGTGTACATTTAGTCAAGGTCGAGAAAGGTCCGGCCACTCTTGGTTGGACCTTGTAAACTTGGTAGCGGTTGAGCAAGGTATGACCAAAATCTTGTATATGATACTAACAATCTTACATGATAAGGATAAAAATCTCAAGTTTGTGAATACGAAATAAATTACTTGTAATATAGAATAACAAATAAATAAATCATTTAGTTGTCAATATCGTGTAGAGTAGGATAACTTATGCAATTAACAATTGAACCACCAATTAGGTATAAATGGTTTTGTTTGATCGGTTTTTGACGTTTTCCAAATGGTTTGGTAAAACTCCAAACAGAACCAAACTGTTTCAGTATGCAAATTAAAACATAATTTGCAATTTTATTGAGATAAATAAATTAGAATAACATATATTAGGCATGTAATTAGATTTATCGTGTTTCCATATTTATACTACATTTTCCATACGTGTACTCATGACTTTTTCTATATAACAAAAGTGAGCGAGAGGAATACAATTATTTTCTTCTCTCTAAGGGTTTATTTGATTGCAAGAATGAAATTTGAGTGGAAAGAAAATGAATTTCAGAGAATTGAATTGCCCAAAACTTGTTTTATTGAGAATTGTCAATTAAATGTGTTTGATTGGTATAATTTTCACCTGAAAAATGTTGAAATTTTGGATCTTTTAGTATTCGTTTGATTTTGTTTTCCATGAAAATTGTTAATTAAAGGAATAGAATTTGTTATAATTGTAGTTAGAATATGTTTCCATTGTTGAAAAAAAAAATGCTGAAAAAACCAATTCCCACCAAAACCGAACGGAAATCAATTCCTTAAAAACCTGGAAAATGGGGTCACGTGGGAGGTTGAGTGGAAAACCAATTTCCTGAAAAATTTTGCCCATCAAACATACCCTTAAAGTGGAAAATGATTTTTTTTATTTTTATTTTTATTTTTATTTTTTGGTGAAAATGGAGTCTATCAAACAGGCCCTAAAAGTTTATATAAAACTTGTTTCAACATGGTATAAGAGCATCGATTCTAGGTTTGGCATTTACCTTGACATCTTCTCATTCCTATGTCTTTTCCTCCTTTTTTAACCATGCTCTTTATTCTTCACCTAAGTATAGTTGTTGTCGATCGAAGTGGTCTCTAACGTTAGAAGGAGTCTGCGTTATAATTGATTATAACTGTCCAGTGGTTGTGCAGTATTCACCGGAATTCCTTCGATGGTTCGATGATGATTTAATGGTGATCGATGGTTGTAGGTTCTCCTGCGGTGGTGTCGTCTCTGTTGTAGGCAGTGTTCAGAGCCCTCGATTTTGGTCGACAAATTCTATAAGTGCTGACTGTAGTTGGTGTCATCGACGAAGCTTCTCTTTGAGCGGTGGACTCTGGTTGATTTGTGGGCTAAGTTTTTGTGTTAATTTGACTTGGGCCGTCTCAAATTATTCCAGTTTGCTATTGGCTATTGTTTGGGTTGCCTCTGTTTTGGACTTCAATTTTGTGAGTTTAATTGGCTGTATTTATTTCAGTGGATTTGATTTGGGCTTGTTGATATTAATTGTTGGGCTCTTTTTAATTTTGGGCATGCTGATGTTAGTTTTATTGTTGGGTAGATCACTTGTTTGTGGGTCTGTTTGTGGTCCTTTGATTATTGACAATAGTTTGTATGGATAGTATCATGTTATCTAAGATGGATATATTCAATTTGAAGTGACCTATGACACTTGAAAAATTGAATGAAAGAAATTAAACATACTGGGCTTGGTGTGTCGAAGTTTTCTTGTGGAGTAGGTTTATTTATCCACATAATTTTATACAAATCATCTACCAAGTCTTAGAAAGTGATTCTGCAAAGGTTGATTCTGCTTTCATCGATCGATGGGATCAAAAGGATAATGCATTCATTGGATTTATGATTAGTAGTATTGAGCCTCATATTGAGTCTTTCTCTCTCTATATGTTTATGACTAAGCAAATTTGAGAGCATATTAAATATATACATTTTGGAACTAGAAATGTTACTTGAATCTATGAGATGTGTAAACAATAATTTGGGCTTGAAAAGGGCTCCTTCAGCTTCTTTGAATATTATAATAAGCTCTTAGTTGTGTGCCAGGAGAGAAATGTGCGTCAACCTCTCTCTTGATTTGAAGGTTATGAAAAAACAACGGAGAGATATCGATGTTGTTAAATTTCTTATTGGTCTTTCGTTAGATTTAAGAGAGTCCAATTGCAGATATTAGGTGGAAAAGAGTTTTTCTATCTTGCAGAGACATTCTCTCGTATTTGGTGCTCTACTCTATTAAATGGTACACCCAATGGATATCGTTCTTCTTTATTGCTCGGGATGGATGTAACGGTTGAAATGGACGTGATTTTAGCCCTTGGGATGGACGAGATACTAGAGGCAGTGGTCGTTCCGAAAATCGTAGGCCTCGAAAATTTAATCACTATGGCTGTATAGGTCACTCAGTTGAACATTGTTGCAACTTACATGCCAAACCATATGGATCTGTCAATCAGGTTTCGTCTAATGAGACCCATAACCCTGTATCTAGACCAGTAACTAACTCTAGTTCAACACATAATCTAATTTCTTATTTATGTCACGGGATGAGTATGCAGAGTTCTTAGCTCATAAGTAGGCCACTTCCACTTCTATGGCCAGCATCATTCATTTAGGTACTGTATCTTTCACTGTCTATTGTCATTCTCTCACAATCCATGGATTATAGATTTTGAAGCAACTGAACACATGACTGATTCATCTACTTCTCTCCTTGATTATCACCATGTTAGTTCTTCTAATTATGTTACTTTTGCTAATGGTTCCCAAACTAGTATTGTACGCTTGGGCAATGCCTATCTCAATCCTAATATTGATCTATCCATTGTCCTTCATGTTTCTATCTTTCCATTCAGCTTATTATCTATTAGTAAAATTACTACAAGACTTCAAGATTCTGTAACATTTTAATATTCCTTGCATATTTTTTAGGATCTGAAGACGAAGATGATGAATGGTATGGGGCATAAAATTGGTGGCTTATATTACTTTGATCTTTCACCAGTCTCTTCTCTTCAGTCTTTGTTTCATCAAAGTAGTGGCATTATAGTCTCGGTCACTATTCTCTTTCGTGTCGGTCACCATTCTCTTTCCACTTTAAAATGTCAAGTTACGAGTTTCTGTAATGTGTCTTCCCTTGAATGTGATGTTAGTCAGGTTAGTAAACATTACCGTGTGTATTTTCCTTTAAAAGTTGTTAGTCGTGTTTCTAATTTATTTAAAATTGTTTATTTTGATGTATGGGGACCAATCAATATTTTCTCTAATAAATTTCAATATTTTGTCACTTTTTTAGATGGCATTCTTGTATGACTTGGTTGTTTTTAATGAAAAATCATTATCGGTTATTTTCTATCTTTCATGTCATTTGATCAAAACTCAATTTAATCAAAAAAATTGTTTTCTTATTAATAATGCAAAAGAAGAAGATATAATAATATTTTCTTCTTTTGCATTTCGTCTCTCTTCCAAAGGCATTATTCATCAAACATATTGCTCATATACCCCTACCAAAATACAAATCGTCATTTATTAGAAGTTACTTGGACTTTTCTTTGTCATATACACATTCCTAATCATTTTTGGACTGATGTTGTCCTCACTTCATTCTATCTCATTAATTGCATGACATCCTTTGATTTGGATAGTGCATCTCCATTCTCTATTTTGTTTTTGTTTTTCTCACAGTACTTATTATCTCTCAAAGTTTTTTAAATTGTTTGTTATATCCATCACTTTAGTTCAGTCATGACAAACTTGACTCTTACTTTATGAAATGTATTTTTCTTGATTACTTTCAGGCACAAAAGGGTTGCTATAATCATTCTCTACAACGCTACTTTGTAAATGCAGAAGTTGCTTTTTAACAAGTCCACAACCTATTTCTCTTATCATAGTACATTTCTGGAATCCACTCAGGATCTCATTAGCTTACCCGTACCATATCTACCAGTTGGTATTTCTTCAGAACTAGACTCATCTCCATCTACTGCACCAGAGTTGTCACATCTCATAAGGAAGCACTTCCTCCTTTATAAGTTTATACTCGACGATCTAAGCCACCAATAACCGTGGCCTTATCGTCTATAGATCCTACATCCATCTTCTGTTCAGATCTTGAGTCATTGCCCATTGCTCTCCGTAAAGGTAAACGTGCTTATGTAACTAAGCATCCTATAGGCCACTATATCACTTTTAATTCATTGTCGCCTTCGTTTTCCTGTTTCATATCCTAGCTTTCTAGTGTTTTTGTACCTAAGACGGTGACATATGCTTTGTTTTATCTTGAGTGACGAAAAGTTATGGAATTGATAATGGTAGCCTTGGATGAGCTTAAGACTTGAAAACTTGTTCCTTCACCGCCCGGAATATGTCCGATTGGTATCGAAGTTCCAAAGTTCAATTATAATGGGACTATCAATCAATTAAAAGCTCGTCTGGTTGCTAAATATTACAATAGACATATGATATTGATTACGATGAGACATTTTCTCCAACTGCTGAGATATTTTCTATCCGTGTTTGAACTTCTATTGCTGCTAATCTTGGTTGGCCACTGTTTCATTTAGAATTGAAAATGCCTTCCTTCATGATGACTTGCACGAATAGGCTTATACGGAGCAACCATCTTTGTTTGTTGCTCAAGAGGAGTGCCAGAAATATGTTTTTAAGTTGAAAATGGCTTTATATGTGTTAAAGCAATCATCAAGGGCATGGTTTGGAAAGTTTTCTGAGATTTTTCTGGAATTTGGTCTTGTGATGTGTCAGACAAATCATTCAGTATTTCATCTACAAACAGATGCATGTTTTTTTATCCTTATAGTTTATGTATATGACATTGTAATCACTAGTGATGATGTAGGTAAGAGTGCCTAGTTGAAACAGTTTCTACAAAAAAAAATTCAGACCAAAG